CAGGCAACTACCGCCCTGTTTCTATACTTACCTCCATCTCGAAAGTCATGGAAAAAATAGTATATGAACAGGTCGAAAAGTACCTCGCGGAAAATAAACTAATCTATGAATTTCAATCTGGCTTTAGAACATCCCACTCCACTGACACATGCCTTCTTTATTTGAGCGACCACATCAAACAAGAGGTGGACGAGGGCAAGTACTGCGGCATGGTGATGCTGGACCTACAAAAGGCTTTCGACACTGTCAATCACCCCATTCTGATTGACAAGCTAAAAGCAATTGGTTTTGATAAACTATCGGTGAGCTGGATGCAATCCTACCTGGAGGGGAGAGAACAGATGGTGGAGGTAAACGGTACTCTGTCCCCCCCCCTCCCAGTGAGCTGTGGTGTTCCACAAGGAAGCATATTAGGTCCGTTACTGTTCCTAATTTATGTAAATGACATGTCATCAGCATGTGACTGCAACTTGTTCCTGTTCGCGGACGACTCAGCCATGCTGGTCTCTGACAGGAACAGGTTGCAGGTTGAAAAAACCCTCAGCTCCGAGCTCGGCAGAATCTGCACCTGGCTCGCCGATAATAAATTATCATTACACCTGGGTAAAACAGAGTCCATTCTCTTCGGTTCGAAACATAATCTCAGCAAATCCGACGACTTCTCAGTTGCAGTGGGCGACATTATTGTCACAAGTAAGAAGGAAATTACATACCTAGGATCTATTCTTGAGGCAAACCTCTCCTGTGACAAAATGGCATCCAATGTAATAAAAAAAGTCAATCAAAGAACTAGATTCCTATACCGGATCTCCTCTCTGGTAAACAAAAACACCCTGAAAACTCTGGCAGGAGCACTCATTCAAGGGTACTATGACTATGCTTGCACATCATGGTACCATAGCACCTCCAAGGCGCTAAAAATAAAACTTCAAACATCGCAAAATAAACTGGTCAGACTACTGCTTGACCTTTCATCTAGAACCCACCTCACCTCTGCCCACTTTGACAACCTAGGATGGCTTAGAGTAGACGACAGAGTACAGCTACTTGCAATGGGCCTGGTCTACAAGATCCACTACACCTCTATGGTACCCATGTACATGTCAAAATTCTTCCCAAAGGTCAAGGAATACCATGATCATAACACCAGAGGGAGCTCCACAAATCATGTGAAACCCAGATTTGGCACAAAAAAGGGGGAATACACGTTTCGCAATTATGCCACATCAAGGTGGAACGCTCTTCCCACAACTGTAAAGGAAAGTAAAACTATACTTACCTTCAAAACCTCTCTTAAAGAGCACCTTCGGGGGAGAGCATTGCAAAACTGGCCCCGGTAATGGTACAAATCTCAACCTGTCGTTCAATGGACAGCTTCCCCCCCCCCCCCCCCTCTGTATATACTCGCATTTTAGACTCTGTTACTAACTGTATATCTGTAGACTTGGTATGTCTTAAATGTCCGGTTAGGATGTATTAGAACGAAATCTAAAATGAAAATTGTAAATAAGCAATCTGTATGTAAAAAACCACCTGTATGTAAATTGTAAATAAGCCATCTGTATGTCAAATATATCTTATATGTCTTAAATGACATGATGAATTGGAAATGGGGGACCCTGATGTAAACAAGACGAAAGTCTTTCTCTGGTCTGCATCCCCTTAACAATTGTATGTTTTGAGCTGTACTGTACTGTACCCAATATACAAGCTGTTAATAAACTTTTCAATCAATCAATCAATGTATTCTCTCTGTTTGTATCTATTACTTATTTATTTGGTGTAAGAGTATTCATCTGTTTTTATCTTTTTGTTATTTATTTGGTGTAAGAGTGTATTCATCTATAGTAATTTCACACACGTGACAATAACACGACGGCATCCATCTTGTGATATAATGTTCTTTCACACACTCAACAACAACAAAGAAGATGGATGCCGTTTCTTGTTCTTGTTGTTGAAATAAACAAGACATGTTGAATTTAACACGGTATTACATTTCATTTAGCTGACGCTTTTATCCAAAGTGACTTACAACTATATATATACACACACGCATATATATATATATATATATACATACACACGTATATATATATATATACATACACATATATATATATATACATACACACATATATATACATACACACATACATATATATACATACACACATATATATATATACACATATATATATACATATATATATATATATATATACATACATACATACATATATATATATACATACATATATATATACATACATATATATATATACATACATACATATATATATACACATATATATATATACATACATATACATACATATATACATATATATATATATATATATATACATACACATATATATGACAGACAGAATATTAATATTAAATATTGAACAGATTATATGAACCCCGTCTCACATAATTTACACGGTATACATTTTGAGTGATATAATGTTATTTCACACACTCAAAATTGATGTTCTGCTGTTGTTGTAGAGACATTATTTCTGATTTGAGTTACATTTTTGAAAGTACAAGCCAGAGAATTAATCTATTTGTTTTTTCCACATTTGTTTTCACAGTGAGGAAGGCGATGAGGATATGGCTTCTGGATGCCTGAGTATTATGGGGAAGATGCCACCAAGGTCAGGAGGTACTGCAGGAGATGCTCTGATGCTGGCAACTGAAGGGTGAAGACACCTATGTACTGCAGGAAGTGTCAGGTCCCTCTGTGCTTCACTACCAAAAATAACTTTTACAGGGCATGGCATGACTTACTGGAGTAATACTGTAACATTCAGGGTTTGTATAAAGTTTTTTTTTTTTTACCCAAAAAATGCTTGTTGTATAGTGTGTTGCTAATTTTTTTTAATAAATCTGCTCCAGTTGGAGTCAAATGTTTCCTAAGTTTCCTCATTTTTATTGTGCAAGTAACATGCATCTCATGCAAAGAGGGAACTTCCCACACACACCACACACACACACACACACTCCACACACACACACCCACTTAATTTTTATTTATTTTTTTAACAATAATTTTTTTTTTTTTTATGGAATGAATACCTATAGTGATAATTAAATGTTGTACAATGATTTTTACAGTCTGGTACCTGAAAAAGGTTAAATGGCACTGATGGAACCAAATGTACCCAAATGTGCCCAAAGCTTTTTTTTGCTAAATCTCTCTAAAAAGGTCAATTCTCACTTGTTTTGCCTCAATCTTGATACAGGGTACTTATTATATGTTATACTTTGGATTCCTAAAGCTTTTAGGCTACTAACCCATCATTCAAGGGTGGTTTTCACTATAAGTAATGGGTTTTATTTGGGCGGAGACAAAAATGTACACTTTTTGACTATGTTCCATCTGGATTTACTCTGACACTGAAACATCTTTATTGATTCTGACACTTCTACATCCAACTCACTGATGTGACCTTGCTTTGATAAAATAAATTATTCATATAACCCTTTTAGAAGTTAAGTTATAGTCCTTTGTTTTAGGCATGTCATTTTCGAGCCTGAAACCTGAAAAACAGGCTTGGGGCTTAAGAGGTTAAGGGTTGTTTATATTTCACATCATTAATCAGAATCTGCAAAGTAACTAAAATAAATGTAGTGGAGTCAAAATACCAGGTTAACCTCTGAATTGTAGTGGAGTAGAACAAAGTAGTATGCTGCTGTAACAAAAACATTTCCCAACTTGGGATCAATAAAGTATATCTTATCTTATCTTAAGATGATCGATGGCTACTGCCATATTTGCAAAATGTGCCTCTGAACCTTGACAAGTGCATGTTTCAGGCTTATCAATGAACAACAGGAGGGGTCACAGACATAAGACCAGCTGTTAAATAAAACTCTTCTGACCTTAGGTGTCATGTGGGTATATTAATTCACCCATTTATTAATTATATGTTTTAAATTTGATAACACCACTGTGTTTCGTATCCCCTAAACCTCCAGGGTGTACACAGTTTAATACTGGCAACTTCTAATTGTGGGAAATACGAAAACGTCTTATAAAGAGACGTGCCATAGAACATGTTGCGAAACACACAATAGCCAGCATGTGTAGCTCGGGGGGCTGGACCCGGGGGCTGGAGCCGTCCAATTCCAGTTTTGGAAAGTCTGCCGTGGTTCCATTCCATTTCATAGAGCTGTTTGACGCTCAGCGTAACCTTGTCGCACTGCCACTCCAACATCCAATCACAGGGTTTGATGACTAATCACGGGGTTTGTAAAGCAAGGCGGATGTTGTAGTCCCAAACGATAGCTGGGGATTCTGGGTAGTGTAGTGTCTAAACTCCGAAAAAACTATTTGTTTCTCTGAATCGAAGGTTAAAAACACAAAAGCATTGTACACAATTTAAACTAATCAATATTGTGTAATTAACAAGGATAAACTGATGTTTTTTAGTGGATGAGTAATGCAGATATCACTGTGTAATCATTTTTGTGTGTGTGTGTGTGTGTGTGTGTGTGTGTGTGGTGTGTGTGTGTGTGTGTGTGTGTGTGTGTGTGTGTGTGTGTGTGTGTGTGTGTGTGTGTGTGTGTGTGTGTGTGTGTGTGTGTGTGTGTGAGTGAGCTGGAGCATGGAGGATGATCCGCAGAGCAACATGATGACAGCGCGGAGGAGGAAGCAGGTTGGACATTGAACAGACACACTTGCCTTTCTTCCTCTCTTTTGCCTTTTCACTTCTCCTCTGCCTTTCTATTCATCTCTGCTCTTTTCATCCACCTCCACAACTTTTTATTCATAACTTTTTCCTTTATCATCTCCTCCCTCTCTTCTTCACTCAGAGCCAGTGGACAATTTCAAACTGACCTCTTCCTCTTATTTGGTCTTCACATAACGCTTCATGCACTGCATTCCACTTCTTTCCTGTCCTGTTCGATTGAACCTTATCTGCTCCCACACTGGTTACATATGTTGCAAAATGTCAGTCCTGTGTGTGAGTGTGTGTTGCTGGACTTACACTCTGCTCCGGTTGCTGTTGAGGACACATGGGCCCCAGGCTCTCCACTGCCAGCTGAAGGTGGGAGCAGGGAGACCGTAGGCAGTGCATGTTAGAGTCTGGCTGCTGCCACTGGGGTAAGGACTGGAGGGATCTGCCACTTCCTTCTCATGGATTTGTGGGGGAACTGGGGAAGAGGAGAGCAAATCAAACCATCCATCCAGTAACATAGTATAATATTTAGGGTGACAGACCTGGGTGAGAGACAGAAGTGCTCCATTCATGTAAGACTGGACTGTTGAACCCATGTCCTGAATATGTCCTGAAGTAACCAGCTTAAAGTGTTTTAAAATTGAATATAGCATGAAGTTAGAACCCAATATTTACTTTTGTTTTTAAATAAACTACACATTTATTTTTAGAATTAGAAAATTCTCTTTTCCTCTTCTATGATCAATTGTATTAGCAACATTATGCAAATACAGTTACAAAATAGAAATCCACCTTTCCTTTCTTCTTACATACAATTCTACCTCAACACGCAAAAATAACGCACAAACACTAAAAGTGTGGAAACTAGGCTTATATATATATATATATCATATGATCAAGTGTTTGTTTGCATTTTCATGCCTGACAGCTGTGCGATTTTTATATTTCTACATGCATCTTTTGTTTATCAATGCTACATCTTTATGCTGCCTATATTTTGAACATTCTTATCCTTTTTTAACCAAAAACCAAACCACACATTGGGCTTAATGAAGGGAGCAATATACTAACAGATTTCTCTTAACAGAAAATTAAAATAATTTAAGAGAAAAATAATGTTTCTGCATGAGGCCTTGATTCCTATTACAAATGGTTGTATAAAATACCATGATCCATGCTTGTTAAACTGGTACATCTCTTGAGTTTTGTAGCATGAATGTGAACTGTTGCACATCCACATCCACTGTTTTGTACACATTACATTGCATTTTTTTACACATAGCATCTGGCGTGATCTCCAACAGAATAGTTACCGTTGACGACAAGCGTGATGTTGAGCCTACTCTCCAGCACAGCGGCACTGTTTCTCAGCACCACAGTGTAGAGCCCAGAATCCTCCTGACAGACATCCTTAATCTCCAGAGCATGGTTAAGGTGTATCCTCATCCTTTTCATCTTGAACTCTGGGCGTTGGTTTATCGACTTTCCATCTTTATACCTGGACACAAGGCACAGCTGCTACACTGCAGGATACAACCCAGCTGAGGTGCTCTGCCTTTTAGATACATCTGTAAACCTAAGCAGCATGAAGCCTGATTATGCTATTGGAAAAAGCCCATTACATTCAATGAATACACCAGAGTGTTGTCTTACCATTGCGTTTCGGGTGGTGGGAAGGCAGACACATTAACTTGTAGTTTAAATAACTTCTGGCCAGCTGTAACCTCCACCACTGCTCCATTTCTGTAATTGAGGCTGATGAATGGCTTTTCTGAAAGAAGAGACATTCACTCATATACAATCTGTGTCTAAAGCACAAATAATTCTCCACTAATAATCTTTCTCAAGCTTTAGTTTAGAAAAGTCCACAAAAAAGATCTCAAATCTATCCTCTGCTGTTCAAACATTCAGAATCTTCACTTTATTGCTTTACCTATGAATTGTTAAAAACATAAGGAGAGGTTTGAGAATTTTCTAGGAATATATTTTCACACACCTTGCTGTGCAACCCAGTCTCACAGCATTTCGTGTTATAGTCATAACATTTAATCTATTGATTCGTGTTCACCAACACGATTTCCCCCTTTTTTTTTTTTCGTGTCACACAGAACGATTTTAAAAGCAATGTATTTCTATTGGTAGTATGTTTCGTACCTGCACCACGTCTTTTTTTTCCGGTCGGGTCTTGGAAGACCGGAAGCTGTGTGGTTCATAAAAACATGTTCATACTCAATATCAAGCCACGATTATTGTTTTTATTTTAAATCGTATAATGTCGCACTTTTTTTGCCGTCCGTGAGGAAAATAAATGGGGTTCAGAGCCTCAGAATACTGAAATCTGTAGTTTTTTAAATCTTTTTTTCCTTCTAATTTGTTATTCTTTTCAAAATAACACACTGTTATTTACTCAACAATAACACACAATTATCCTTGTTTTTATTTATTTGTTTAATTCTATAATCTCGGGCTTTTTTAGCGTCCGTCAGGACTGAATTTCAAAATAAAAATAACCGGAAACAGACGTAGGCCTATATGGGACATTTTTAGCATTATTGCGATACACACCCACTGAACTGATTACCCAAGATCCTCAGCTATGGTTTAAGCTCGGTGATTGGATGTTTTAGCCGCAATGCACGTTAGAATATGGTGTTACGGTGAGTGAAGCAAGCAGGACCCAAATGCAGATAACGCTGAAAATGCCTTTATTTCAAGGATAATCTAGACAACTTGGACAAAACAGAAAACTCAGTCACAAACAAAAGACGAACCAACACTGAACACAGGAAGAGACAAGACTAAATACAGGGAGCGGTAATCACAAGACGAGAAACAGCCGGGCAGGGGAGGAGAAACACAAGGGCAACAGGTGAACACAATCAGACAATTAGACACACCAGGGAAAATAACGACAGGGAGGAAAAACACAGAGAGAGGGACCAGACAATACACAAGGGAGACAGGGAGAACCGAACAGCAAAATAAACCCAAACCTAGACATACAAAACTAAAAACGTGACATAACATGAGAATCGTGACATATGGTGTTAATGCGACATGAAATCCGAAAAACATTTCGGAATTTAGGATGGCCGAAGACACTACACTACCCATAATCCTCAGCTATCGTTTGGGACTACAGTCCCTTCGCTTGAAAAACCCTGTGATTAATCAAGCACTGGGATTGGATGTTGGAGTGGCAGTGCGCCAAGGTTATGCCGAGCATCAAACAGCTCTTTGAAATAGAACGAAACCACGGGAGACTATCCAAAACTGGATTCGAACGGGACCAGCCCGCCCCCCCAAGAACTACACATGCTGGCTATTCGCAAAATGTTCTATGGGACGTCTCTACTGGGAACGTTTTCGTTTTTCCCAAAATTAGAAGTTGCCAGTATTAAACACAGTGGTGTTATCAAATTTAAAACATATAATTAATAAATGGGTGAAAATTGCTTGTGTCCTACATAATGGGCAGAATTAATATATACCCACATGACAGCTCATTGTTACTTTGTAATTCTACTCCACTACAATTCAGAGGTTAACCTGGTATTTTTACTCCACTACATTTATTTTAGTTACTTTGCAGATTCTGATTAATGATGTGAAATATAAACAACCCTTAAATCAGACTTTAGTTACACCTGAGTAAAATTCAGGGAAGTTGATTGTCAAGTGCCAACAATCAGGAGAGATATTTGATAGTTAGTGCTTGAGAAGACTAAACATTTATCTGCAGATCCTTATAAAGATATTTGTTGTGTCTCGTCAAATGTGTTAGCTATGTATTATGTCTGTCATTTCATGTTTTTTCACGTCTGGTCATGTCTGTTTATATTAGGTAATTTAATCTCTAGTCAGTCTCTGTGTTTATTGTCATGTCTCGTCTTCCATTTCCTGTTTTATTTTGTGCTTACCTCTTGTATTTTATTTCAGGCCCTGTTTCTCCCCCGTCTGCCCCGCCCCTGATTGTTTCCACCTGTTCCCACTCACCTCATGTTTAAATAGTCCTGTCTTCCCCTGTCCTGTGTCAGTTTGTCTTGTTTGTTTCCCCAAATGGTCATGCCAAACCTCAGCTCAGAAAAGGATCGCTTTTAACTCATGTCAGGTTTTGTTTATTTTGTTGGCTTAAGTTTTTATTAAGTCCTCCTTTTGTTATGCTAGTTTTTTCCTCCTTGTGAGCGCTTTTTGTTATCTGTTAAGAGGGATTACCTGAACTGTGAAATAAATATACTTTTATTTATATATAAGACTTTGTCTCTGGGTCGTGCATTAGAAATTGCAATTAGAAGGAAGAAAAGATTTAAAAAATACAGATTTCAGTATTCTGAGGCTCTGAGCCCCATTTATTTTCCTCGCAGACGGCAAAAAAAGTCCGACATTATACGGTTTAAAAATAATAACAATAATCGTGGCTTGATATTGAGTAAGAACATGTTTTTATGAACCCCACAGCTTCCGGTCTTCTAAGACCCGACCGGACAAAAAGACATGGTGCAGGCACGAAACACACTACCATTGCTTTTAAAATCGTTCTGTGTGACATGAAAAAAAGGGGAAAATCTTGTTGGTGAAAACGAATCAATAGATTAAATGTTGTGACTATAACACGAAATGCCGTGAGACTGGGTTGTGCTGTGACCTCATTTAAATTAGAGCCACCCTTCATGTCTACATTACAACATATTTGTATTTGATGCAGGATTCCTGAAAGCAAGGCTATATCATTTTTCAGGAAATAAATGATTTGTTCTTCTGAAATGAGATTTCTAAGCAATAAAACACCCCTGCTCTGTTTAACACCCTCAGGGATTTTTTTTTCATTAGAGCCTTTCTTGGAATGATATGACAAGTAGCTTATGATGTTTAATGTAAGCTAGCAAAGTGACAAATGTTTAATATTGCTCTGTAGTGGACATTGCTGAGTGTCCTGCTTACTGTTACACCCTAGTATTGTTACATTGCAAATGTATCATTTACCAGCATCACAATAATTTCAAGTTACATAGACATGCTTTGTATTTATCCATGCTAGCAGCAGGACTCTCTCTGCCCGGTCCGTGGGTCGGCCCATCACTTTGGTCCAGACTTAAATATCTCACTAACTATTGGATAGATTGCCAAGGATTTATGATGGACATTTACGGTCCTTCGAGAATGAATTTTCCCCCTGACACGAAATGCATCATTATTTGCTAACTAGCTAATGTTAGCATACACGCTACACTCAGATGTAGTAGTTAACATTGAGTCAGTGTTTAAGATTTTAGGGGAATTCATGTGAGAAATTGAATATACTCATAACTTTGTTTGCAATAATTGTATATAATTACCTAAAACCAAATTTATTTGGGCTGTCATTATCTTAAAATAATGTATTTATTTCTACAAAGAGGCCGACATGTTTCTACACTATTGAAAACTGTGGCTCTAGAGGGGGCCTTTCCTGCTTTAACCTTACCTTAAGGCCACCATAGCTTCTCCAAGAAATTTGGAAAGGGAGGGCTAAGCGAAATGGTATTCACTTGGTTGCAATCTGCAACCTCACCACTAGGTGCTACTTCATCCTAAACACTGGTCCTAATGTCATTTAGTTAGCATGTTGAAGTTAGCATCCAGCCTCACATAGCTGCTAACACAGGTATTTTTGTAATGTACTCATGACAAGTGTGATATTTAGGGTAGAAAACAACTGATCTTACAAACAAGAAAAAGGCAAAGTAGTGAACTGCACCATTCTGAGCTAGTGCTTACCATAAACTATGACCTGAGTTTGCCTGGTTATGGTTGTTCCCACGATGGTGACGTTGCAGATGTACGGGCCAGTGTCTCTGACGTTGACGCTGTGGATGGTGAGGAAGCTAACAGCCTCTGTGGCGTGAGACAGAGCTTCACGAGAGGGCTTAGTGTCTTCCCTACTGTTCGGCTGGTGAGAGGAAATTACATTTAAATTTGTATTTACTGGTGCCATTCATCATGACCAACTCTCGCTGCCTCATACCTGTTTGCGGGGGTAAGACCAGTTTATGTCCACTCCAGTGTCGAACTCCACCGATGCTGTGCAGTTGAGGGCCAGGGCCTCCCCCACTATCAGCTCCACTGGATCCTCAGGAAACAGCTTGACATCGTAACCTGACTTCCTGTCCGGGAAAGAGAAAAAGGGGGGAGGTAGAAACAGAGGGACAGAGGGAGGGGGAGACAGTGATAGAGGTCACGGTGACATCGTCAGCAGTTTTTCCTTCCTCGCAGGACCAGAGGAAATGACTTTCCTCTGGACCAGCGAGGCCATCACACTACAAAGAATATAAGTCTCACAAGTTCACGTTATTTCCCATTCCTCCTACAAGCTATATATCAGTGAAGAAAATTAATACATAGACACTTTAATTCAAGATAAGAGGGAAAAAAGCAAGAAAGCTCTGGACACTGGCCATTGTCTCTGATATTCAAGCCACCTCTCTCTGCAGTCTCTAGAAATAACATGGGGTGTAAAAAAACAAGTATGCTGGTGATGTCTCTGCAGCAGACTGTGATTGCCTGATTGTTTAAATGCTCCATTAGCGTTCGAAGCGAAGACTCGCTCTCAGTTTCTCCTCTGACTGATGCTGATGTTACTTTTGGCCCAGCAGCGGTGGGTATGAGTTTCCTTTCACCCTCTGCAGTGAGAGGTGAATGATCTCACACGACATAAAAAAGAGCCTCTGGGTCCCTCAGAGTTCATTCGCGATGAGAGTGATCCTCGTCATGAAATCTCTTCATCTTAGTTCCCTACAATTTAATTAAGCCTCCCATTCTCTTCCTCTTCATCTCTTTTAATTCTGCTGACATAATGGCACACGTCCTTGCATTAAAAAGGGATTTGTATTTATTTTGGAGGAAACAATATTATGAAATTAAATCCATCAAATTGTCAGCATTAAGGCTTAATTGGCTGCCATGTAAAAATAATGTTGACAGTGCAGTCAGCCTGGCACCACCTTTGATTTCCTTTCTAATTTCTGTTTCAACAAAAGTACAGCTTCAAATCTCATTAAAATATTTGTACTGGGTCAGGTTTGCTTTTGTAGCTGCCTAAGCTAAGGTGTGTGTGGTCGTTAATGTTTTTGCTGAAACACAAGATGAGATGATCAATTTTAACCTTTGGAGACATTATGTTTTTTGTACCTGTTGTGTGGAAAATGTAGCTAGGAGATTGATAGTCTTTGCCTCCTAGTGTTGCCCAACACAAAACTCCGATGAGCATTGGCACACTGGCCATGACGTTTCTGGGAATGGACCAACCTCGCTTGTTGTCCCATGTCATCTTGTCAGTTTCCAGAGGCGTGGGATACTGAGATGACAAACAATAAAGTAAATAATTAAATATTTGACAGCTTCAATTAGAGGAACACAGTGTGAGAAATATGTGGTGAGTATACAAACCGCATGGAGAGTGACGTTCAGATCGGGCACCGTGACCAGGCATGGCACTATGACGTGGGTGGAGAAGTGGTTGATGAAAATGATCTCCATGTCGCTGCCTCTCTGGAGGAAGGGCTGCTCTGGGTCTGCGTGCAGATAGAAACAGGGAGGGAGCTGTTTAAGGGTAACCCTGATGCCAGCTGGGATAATGGCAGCTATTACTGAGAAACATCATGAGCAGACAGCAATATATCTCACAGCGTCATAATGAACCCCATATAAAAGACACAGCATATGTGAGAGACAGCTGAGAGGTTTTTTCCTCCCCTAAACAGTGCTTCTATATCCCTTAAGCTGTGTGTTAGTGGACAAATATCTCTCTTGTTTTTCTTCCTTAACACCTCGATGTCTCTATTTGTCTGTAAATCAAAGCTGATGTTACAAGAGGGCTCTAGAGACATCACAGCCAGTTGTGATACCAATTTTCATTATGGTTATTATCACTACAACACCTTCTAGTCCCTAAGCAGGAGTACAAAATGCTTATCTCTTAGACTTTCCTGTCAATACTTTTGTATCGGTTATTTTTCTTATTTCTCGTCTTCTCACGATAAGCCTTCTTATTATATTAATTTTTTTCTGCAGCAGTCAAAGCTATAACATCAATCATCTGCAAGGCCAAACAATGGCCCGATCGAGAGGCTTATATTTCTGCCCTGCAGCGTCCTGAATACACACAGGTAACAGAAACAATACACAATTCCTCTCAGTTTAAGTTCTTCACAATAAATCACTGCAGGTATTAGAGTGCAATCGGTTTTGTAAGAGGAGATGTCGCACCCGGGACAAGAAGAGGGATATGAGCCTGGGTATGAGTGTGAAAAAGTGTGTGTCAGATGAAGTATTGTTGGTTTTAAATGAGCCTATGTGAAGCAGATACAGTGCATTCATACATGCGGGTCATACTGTACGCTCATGTGTTTTTATATGATAGTGTGCAGCAGAGACCAGGTGAAGGGGCGACGTCTGCCTGTCTAACTCAATCCACATGCGTCTCTTCTCCTCCCGCCACACGCTGGGTCTAATTTATGGCTGTGATTTCATCTGCTTCTGATCAGCCCCCTGCTTAGATCTGTGGAAACTGTTTTGGCACCTTGTCACAGGAGATAAACAGGCGTTTCACTTGAGTGGACTGGTCAGCAGGATTCCCTTACATGACAATCATCTGTTTCTCTGCAAATCTCCCTATCCCCTCCTCTATCTGCGTTCCTCCCACAGCACACGGAGCGAGGCTAGGAAAAGTGAAGAGGCCTGAAATGTGTCTAAAGAACGAAGGTAGGAGTGATGCTTGGAATAATAATAACATATGAGACACTGTGAAATCAGGAGAGAAAACATAAGTAGCCAATCTTATTGTGCCGGTCCTATCAGATTTGACACATGAAAAGTCTCTCGCAAAGATAAATCCACAGAAAGCTGCTGCTATATTTCCATATTAATAAATTGAAAGCGTATCGTTTCTCTAATTAGAAAGGAAATGAACTGCTAATTTCTACCACTATCAAACACTTTGCATCTCTAATTTCCGATAGACTAATCCTGCCCCGCTTCCAGGTTGCTGCTGAGGCAAAGTCAACCATTTCCAGCTCTTATAACTTCAGTAATAAAGTTACAAGAGATCTGTTTCAGTAGGACACCTATGGATCTTTTAGGGTTGAAACTGAAGAAAAGGGTACCACAGACAAGCCAAAGAGCTGCCAAGGCAAGAGATCAAAAAGTATCTCTTTAACCACAGAAAAGGTTCAGGCAGCAACATCTCCACACAAATTGCAGACTCACTACTATATAAAATGGATTCGAAAAAGGAAAGATAACTCATGGTCAGAAATACCAAGTTGACTTACAAGGATTTTCCTTTTTTCTTTCTTGCGTCAGCATACAGTATGTGTGGATTGTTGGTGTGTGACTCACCCCTGACGAACACATAAACGCTGACGGCAGTGGTTGCCGCCGATGATGGCCTTGACATCCTTGTAGTAGCAGCGGTAGTAGCCCGTGTCTTTGGCCTGCGCCCCGTTCAGGATCAGCCTCTTGCAGTACGGCCTCCGGGCTGCCCCGGACACTCGCTGACCAGGACCACCCTCGGCCCGGGAGTCGGGAGCTGGGCCTGGCGGTCTGTTAGCTCCTGGCCCACCAGAGTCTGATCAGGCCAGGCCCAGGCCAGAGTGTGCTGCCCCCTGACAGCACATGGGACATTTTGATTTAGAATCAGGTTCAGAGTGATAAATCATCAGCTTCTGGTCCAATTTCAAATAAAAGGATAGGTTAAAACCACACTTCAATATAATTATGGGTTACCGTATCTGTTTGGCCTACTTGTTCTCCCGTGCTTTTTCAGAACACATATAAGACGTATCAGTCTGTGTTTTTGAAATTGGGGGTTTTATATTTTGTTGTGTTTTTAAAAAAATTACATTGTGTATGAGACTCTTTCAGTCTGTGGCTATTATCTATATATATATATATATATATATATATATATATATATATATAGATATTATATATATATATATATATATAATATATATATATAATCATATATATATATATATAGATAGATAGATAGATGGATAGATAGATAGATAGATAGATAGATAGATAGATAGATAGATAGATGAAAAAAATATATATATGTAAGGAAATACAAATTTCCAGTAACAAATATAATGCAGGTTATTGTTGTGCAAGAATGGATTTTTCAATATTAAATGAATATGAATGTTAAATGACCAGTGGGATTCTTAAGCCCCACGGACCCAGTTCCGGGGCCAAAATCGTGTCATTTGCAGGAAACAACGTCTAAGGAACCTTAATATGTAATAAACTATGAATATTTTATATCCATTATAACGGGAAAAAACTAATTTAACTGATCTTTTTCATTTTTATTTTTTTTAAAACACACAATGCTAAACAGTAACCCTCTGAATTAGCCCCGAGCGAAAAATGCTAACCTATTCCTGCACCGAAAATCACTCCTAGTTTCCCTTATTACTTATCCTAGCTGCACATCCAACACATCGTTTTTGATCGTAAAGACACAGAATCTAACGGTGCCCACCTCAACACTGAAAGATACAAACTCGCGATGTTATCACCAAAAACGTACATCAAAACATGTGGCGCTAGGTAGCCTAAAACCCTAACATGGGCTTACCTAGGTCTTTGTCTGGTCAAAACTGGTCTCAATGGCATTAAAACGATTTATAAAAAAACGATGCTGTAGTTAATCCATAGGTTAATATCCAATGTTACTGTGTCCCCTTTGAAATGTTCTGATAATCTATAAGCAATAAAACTGCAATTCCGTTTTCAAATATCAGAGCTCTGAAGAAAGATTGCTATGCGCAGAGACCACAACCTTTTTTTAACATGAGTGTGTGCGGGACGATTTCCCTTCGATTATATTGGCTCTAACGGTCAGGAAGAGATGTAACATGTCAAAATCGAACAAGGGGGCCAGAGTATGGAAAATCCACCCAAATGGCCCCAGAAGAGGTTTTGCTAAATCTGTCTAAAAAGGTCAATATCACTTGTTTTGCATCAATCTTGATACAGGGTACTTATTATATGTTGTACTTTGGATTACTAAAGCTTTTAGTCTACTAACCCTCATCCAAGGTTAGTTTTCACTCTAAGTCCAAAATATTTTTTGGACGGACACTATAATTTATAATTTTTTACCATGTTCAATCTCAATTTTCTTTAAAATAAAAAACATCTATATAGATTCTGACTTTTCTACATCCTACTCACAGGTTTATCATTACTTTGAGAAAAAAGATTATTAATGTAACCCTTTTAGAAGGGAAGATATGGTCATTTGTTCTGGGAATGTCATTTTCGAGCCTGAAACCTGAAAAACAGGCTTGGGGCTTAACAGGGTATAAGGTTTGTATTGTCATCCTCTTAAAAAAAATGTTTCTGTCCTAACGGTTTTGTCTAAATGTATTTATGCTGCTTTTTCTAATTTATTGATGTACAGCTCTTTGGTCAACTCGTTGTTTTCAAATGTGCTATATAAATAAAATTGGATTGGATTGGATTTTAAGCCGATTTGAAAAGTTATGAACATATTGAAAGTTTATTGTTATCTGTATTTATCACATTCTAACACATAAGGCGTCAGAATCATTTGAATCAGAATATTTCCTTAATCCAGAGGAAACTTGGGTTGTGTAACAGTTGCTCAATTTTAGAAAGAAACAAATAAAAAGGTAATTTAAAAACATGAATATGTAAACAGGAAGTTAAAGTAACTTTTTGCACACTGTAGAAGTGTTTGTGTGACCGGAAACCAGTGTGTGAATGTTCATTTGTGTGGGTGTGAATTCCCTGTTTGCTCTATGCTTTGTCACATAAATTCAGTTATAGTTGGACGTGGTAACCCGGAGGCTTTATGAGTGAGATTGAGTGGAATCATAATGGCTGTCTGAGAACTGATAGCTATGCTCTCAACACCTGCAATCCCCTCCCTAACATGTATTTTATAGTTCTCTAGAAACATTTTACATTGCAGATTACTAGTGTCGCTGGCCATGTGAGGTTTATATGCAAACAACTATTCAAGACATTCCAAAGGCATCATCAGCTTTCCAAAGACATCATGCACCACGGAGGAGGAAACGCTTAACGTGAGTGACAGCTTGGCAGCATGCAGCACAGCAGAGATCTCATAAGGATAAGGATGCTTATTATGGGGCTTTCCATGCCTCACTTAGACTCAGATTTAAATCAGTGTTGGCTGGGTTTTAGAACAAAAACGTTGCTGGTTTCCAAAAGGACTCATCCATTTCATATATGGACTTGTGATGAACATTTATCAGCGTTGGAGGAACTGTTTAGTGTAAAATAGCAACAGCACCCTTAAATAATCAAGTAAAAGCCCTGCACTGAAAGCGTAAAAGTGCCAAGGGGTTTATAGCTAAATTAACTTGAGGTATCAAACTTTGTTCTGAGTGTTGCTCTTTTATATTCAAAAATGTATCAGCCAATTGATCTCTCTCATACAAACCACAAATTAGAGCAGCACGGACACACACCTGCATGTAATGGTGAGTGTTTGGTGGACAGGAATCACTAGGTCGTCTTTGGAGCTGTCAAGGATGGGTGGAGTCATAGAAAAGCCAATCACCAGTCCTGAGGGAGCAAACAAGGCAATAGATTCATGTTACACAGATTACAACCAGGACCTACATGTCAGAGCTGCCGGTATGCTGTCAAATCTCCCAAACACATCTGTAAGCTGAAATATGACACGACAGCAGCTCAGATAGCACGTTGTTTATTACATTTACAAGCTGTAAGGCAAAGCACTAGGTTCCTGATACTGTGAAACACACAGAACAGAGAAATGATGGCCATAATGCTACTCTGAGCCTGTTTCCACCTCTGGAAAAGCCCATTTGCCCCTTGATTCATTGCCATTCACCCCACCTACTCAAGCTGGGTTAATATGGGCGGCTCAGAATATCATTACTGTCCCAGATTTTCCTCAGGGTGCTATAAGCGTCAGACTCCAAACCTACAGTTTATCATATAGAAAGTGTCATCATGACTTATGTCCCACCTGGATCTCATTAGAGCTGAAAAGGTACACAGTGCAATATCTGAGAGGGTGAAGGAGAGGCTTTATGGGCGTTTTCTATAGCATAGGAAACAAAGGAAGGAAAACAACCTCTAAATGCAATGTAATGTATTTTTTTAACATTGTAATCTTTATTTTCTTTTTCACATTACTTTGTTAAATTATTGACCCACAAATGTCGAGCATGTGTAATTCAGACAACAGGCTAAACGACAGACAGACCAAACAGAGGAGCAGCGAGAATGATTTCACAACAGTCAGTCGTGACCTGCTGCCAATCAAAACCCGGAGCGCCGGACAGCTGCGATTCTTGTAAACAAGCCTCATTCCTCCAACACATCCTGCTGCCCTGGGAGCACAATAGAGCAAGGTTTTCCTCATGTA